TGGGGCACAGAACTGCTGGGCAGCCTGGCCAGCAAAAGCAGGGAAGCTGGGATTTGTCTGTCCTGCTGTCCTGCAGTGCCTGCTGCCCTTTGGGTGGGCACCCCTGTCACAGCACCACGGAGCACAGCTGGCACGGCCAGGGGCTGCTGCTTGCAACTAGCAGAAAAGCGAGGCTGGAAGATCAGCTTCTATCTGTGGCATCTCTTTGTATTCCAACTTGCCAACAATTGCTTTTTCAACTAAAAATCAAAAGGAGCACATTCTGCACTTTTACAATGACCAAAGCTCCTACAGAATTTGCTGCATTGCTTATACTCCTAAGGAGACTTTTTGGATTTTAAATCTTTTTCCGCTGTTCATAAAATATTAACTACTGCTGGCTGCTTCAATCACTTGGAGTATAAAAAGCAGATATTAGGGGTTTTACCAGTGTTTCTAACAGGCTATCTAAAAGCAACATAAAGTTATATATATATGTATATGCCAAGTGGAATTTTTCTCCTGTTTTGTTTAAACACAGGGAGGAGAGTCCTTCAGTGGCAGGGGCTGCAGGCAGCAGAGCCCCCCTGCCCAGCCTGTCAGAGCACGCTGCACACCCCTGCAAAAGGCACCTTGTCCTCTGCCCAGCTCCCCATGCACACCAGCAGCATCCCAGCGGCCAAACTGGGCACCAGCATCAGCTAAAATCCAACTGCAGCCCAGCAGGGAGCCCCGGGCAGGCACCCCCAGCTCTGCCAGCACAGAAATAACTCAGAAATAACAACAGATTGTGCAGCTCACAGAGCCCCTGGGCCAGGCTGGGCTGCTCCTGCCCAGGGTGTCCCTGTGCAGCGAGGGTGGGCAGGACAGAGAGAGCCAGAGAGTTTTAAATCAGATTGTTGAGGGGTTTTCGGTTATCCAGGTAAATAGTTTCTGTCTCTGCGCCGTTATATTTTTCTTTCATTTTGGTAAAATCTGTTTTTTGTCATCAATTCCAAACTGGAGTTGAAAGAAGCAAAATTTCTCTCCCATCACATTTTCCCCATTTTCTGTTCTGACACATGAAAAAGCTGCAGAGAATCACGGAGTGCTTTCCAAAGGCTCCAGCAGCTTGGCAGGAGGGCTGTGATGAGCAAAGCCCAGGGGACCCCGCTGATCTCCTGGTCCTGCCCCGGCTGCCCTTGTCCAGCAGCACAGCCAGAGCTGAGCTGGGGCTTTCTGAAGGACACTCAGGAGCTGGCAGGGGAGGGAGCACCTCACTGACCACTGATGGAGCACCTCACTGACCACTGATGGAGCACCTCACTGACCCACCAGGGAGCATTTCACTGCCCAGTGAGGGAGCACCTCACTGACCACTGATGGAGCATTTCACTGACCACTGATGGAGCACCTCACTGACCCACCAAGGGAGCATTTCACCCATGTGGGGAGCAGATTTTCCCCAGGTCCCAGTTTTCACAGGACCCTGGCAAACACCACGCTCAGGAGTTCCACGTGTGGTTTGCCTGCCTGATGTTCTGATTACAGCAAGGGGAATGATTAATGCTGGGAACATTGTCTTAGTCAGTGATTAATTAATGTTAATTTATTTCTAACATTGACCATTATTCTTCATTTGTTTCATTTTCTCCGGCTAATGAAGAGCTGTCTCTGGGTCACACTTGTTGTCTCGCTTGCAAAGCAGCTCCTGTTTGAGAGCAGCTGCAGCAGGAGCAGCACAAACACCCCAGGGAGCAACGAGTCTCCTCAGCCTCTCCTTCCACCATCTGACATCCCCCAGCAGAGCTTTGGGACAGCACAACCCCACTGAAACACCAACTTGCTGTCCCAATGTCTCATTTCAGACTGGCTGTGTATTATTATCCGATCCCGTGTCCTCCTCCTCTCCCTGTTCCACAGACCCTTTCTGCCAAGACAGAATATTTGAGCTGCTCACCAGAGCCTCGTGTCTCATCCTGGAGCACACAAAGCCCATTGCCAGGGCACAAACCCACCCTCCCTGAGGCTGCAGGAGCTCCAAAGCCTGGCTGCCTGTCCCCTCTGCCCCCAGCACCAACAATTGCTGTGCTGCCTGCAAGGGGCTGAGCTCAGCCCCACCGCCTCAGCCACCCACCAAAGGATGATGGAAATGGTGCACCTGAACCTCACCACTGGCACCAGCCAGGAAACTTCAGAAAAGACAATTTTCCTGAGGACCTTGAGCAATTAAGATAATTCAGGAGTGCACCCGTTGAGATATTAATGAGCTCCTTCCGGGGCAATATTAAGTTCACAGTTTGCTGCATTTTTACTTTCCATTTCCTATTAAATTTTATTGATATGGTTTCCTGGCAATAGGGAAACCTCGTCCTGCTCTGGCAGAGCCTCTTGAACCCATCATAGCTGGCAGGGCAGTGTCAGGCTCCCAAACATGCAAATCCCTCCCAACAACCCAAGTTCACAAAAATGAGCTGCCTGAAGCCTGCACCCCGCTGCAAAAGCCTGGTGTGAACGGATGGACAGGTAACAGCCTGGGATCTGTCCAGGGCTCAGGTTTTATTTGTGTAGAAATGCAGCAGGATGTAATCCTCAGTTAGCACAGCTCCCCTTTGTTCCCATCCACAACAAACAGCTCCAGCATCCTGAGCAGCAGAGAATTGGTTCCTGTCTCCAGCTCAAGTTACCCGAAGTTTTTCCCTGGCTGTTTTCTCTGGGCAAAACCCCTCCAGACTCTTCTCATTCTCATTCTGAGCAGGAAGAAATCTGCCAGGAAGTTCTAGAATATCCGAGATACC